GTGTACAAGTACCTGGATAATACAACCATTTTGCAATAGTGCAACTTTTAAGTACATATTGTTGACTGTCTGTAGCCACGCAGAGTTACAACTCCACACTTCAACAGCAGCACGCTAACAATTCCTAAGAAAACTACTTTTAAAAAGACATAACGCAGATGTTCCCTCACTTTAGCAACTCCGTCTAAGTTTAGATGTGCAAAAGGGCTTAGATATATCCAGAATAAGCCACATGCAACATGTTACTTAATCAATTTTCTAAAATAAGGTTTCAGGACAATGACAGTAAGGTAAGGGAAAAACACATGGAGGAATAAAGTCCTAATTACTATATATGCCTTTTTTTTTTGACAGTAGGGGGAAACCTTTTACAGATAAGTTACACAGTCCCTTCTTTCTTTTTGGCAGAACCTGGGATTGAACTCAGCCCCTTGTGCTTGCCAGGCAAGCACTTACTCTACCAAGCTATCTCCCCAGCCCTACAGATAAGTTACAAATAAAGAAAAAGAAAATAATTAAATTTGTACAAGAAATTTAACACATTCTGTACAGTGTCTTCACTTTGCTGTCATCATTTGTACAAACTTTTCATAGTTTACTTGGCTATCACTATTAATATGTGCTTTCCTGATCATTTCATCAACCTCTTCATCTGTTAACTTTTCTCCAAGGTTTGTCATCACATGGCAAAGCTCTGCTGCACTAATATAACCATTGCCATCCTTATCAAATACACGGAATGTTTCTCTGATTTCTTCCTGTCTATGTCTTTCATTTTTCTTGCCATCATTGTCAGAAATTCAGGGAAGTCAACTGTACCATTACTATCCGCATCTACTTCATTAATTATGTCCTGCACCTCTGCCTCTGTTGGATTCTGCTCCAGAGACCTCATTACAGTTCCCAGCTCCTTTGTTGTTATAGTTCCATCACCATCCTTGTCACACTGTGAAAAACCTTCTTTGAATTCTGCAATCTGCAAGCTGGTCAGCCATGCTGCAAGTGCTACTGGTTTTTGAGACGCAAACACCAAACCACTCAGCTCACTCGCTCCACTCAGACTAATCCACCTCAATGCATTGAAAGGAGGATGTAAATAATTTTTGACACCGTTGTCCTCCACCTTCTGCCTGTGTCCTTTGTCTCCTAGTTACCTCTGTGCTGAGCAAACCTCTTGTGTTCTTGCTTCAAATATTTTCCTGCTATTTTGTTGCCAGCAGTTCCCTGCTCCACCCTATCCTATTTTTTCTTTTGCACTCCAATCTTAAACTGACACTCTTTCAAGAATTCACCTTTCCAGCCAGAAGCAGAATCTGATGTGGTTCCTGGGCTTGGTGTAAAGACTTTTTCCCCTCAGGCATGATGGTGCTAGCTGTTCAGGTTTCCTGATGACTCCAGATTTTCTAGTGTTTATAGAAACAATAGAGAAGAGCGCCCTCTGGACCAACTGATGAGTCTTGTTCCCTTCCCTGTCTCCAGGGATGTGGCCCATGATAGAGCTCTGCCAAGGCCAGTGGACTCAGTGAGTGCTGTTTGCTGTGTTTATTCTTTATATGGGGTGAGCAGGGCTTTCCTTGCCCAAGATGAACTTTGGAAAGGATGCCACAGGGATGCAGCTTTCTCCAGTGTTGGGGTGAGGGGATGACCGGGAGGAGTGGATATATGCAGTCTGTCCCAAGAGTCTAGCTGTTGCAGTGTTCATTAGTTCCCTTGGATTATTTCTACACTTTCAAAGTAGCTCCTCCCCAGAGGAGCAAGGGTGGGGGCACTGATCCAATGATCCAGACATTTTGTTTGATCTATATATATGGACTTTCAGATTCATTTGTAGGTTTCTTTGCTTGGTGAATAAATGTAATCATTTTTATGACAGAGTTTTCCAGTCCAAACTTGCTGTTTAGGTCTCTTTCTTCCTCTTT